GTGGTTCGACGTTTGAGGGCCGGTTTTCCAAAGGTCCAGGATCGAGAGAGGAGGGCAAGGGATCCAGGTTCAGATTTCGAGGGCCAAAGTTTTCCGTCGATTTTCATGTTTTCAGGCCTCTGACGTTCTCGCCACCACATGGCAGGGTCCGCCCTGAGATTCGGGTCTAAACGCAACCCCAGAATAGCTGGCCGCAGTTCCAGGCCAGGAAAGATGGCGCGAACGGGCTTAATTTGAGTATCTCGAAGGACCAAGGTGAATGGCGCGAAGCGCCGATTCAGTCTTGTATATATACACACACATCGAGAAGGAATATCTCCGTGGCGCTGGGATAAATTGCAATACCCCGAGGCAACTTAGAATGCACGACTGCACGAGGGTCTTGTCAACTCTGGAGGACCGATGGTATGGAGAGGAATTGGATGCGGAGCTGTGGGAGGCAGAGATATCGTGTCCGCCGTGACTCTGGGTACGGAGTGGGCCTGTCCTCAAGTCTTTTGCCTCTTTCCTGCAGCCTCAGTCCACATCCCTGAGGAGTCTTTAAGGGGCCCGGACCCCAAATTTCGAAATCTCCTTAGGCTTGTCGCGTGCCTTCTGATCTTCAGGATATGTTCTTGCGCGAATATTTGGGCCTACGAGGGCCTGAAGACGGGCCCAGGGCGCTCCCCGAGGCCCCCAAGACGGTCCAAGAGGGCCCCGAATCGCCGAAAGATCGTTCCAAGACGCCCAAGATGGCCCCAAACTGCCCCAAGAGGCCTCCAAGACGCTCCAAGAGGCCTCCCAATAGGGCCCCAAGAGGCAATGCATCATCGATTTTCCTACGGTTTTTGAACGATTCTGGCGTTCTCGCCTTTACGGCTTTCCGACGCCCCAAGACGGCCCAAGACGCCCCCAAGATGGCCCCGAAATGGGCCCAAGATACCGAAAATCCGAGCCTTCCGCCCCAAATCCCCTAGGATGCCCCAAGAAGCGCCCAGGAGACCCCAAGAGGCCCCTAAGAGAACCGTAAGAGACCCCAAGAGGCCCCCAAGAGGCCCCAAAGAGTCCCCAGGAGGTCCCCAAACGGCCCCCAAGAGGCCCTGGAGATGCCTCCACGAGATCCCGTCAACCAACCATTAGGCTTCATGCCCAAAACCAACGCACAGTGGCGGGATAGCCCGAAGGCCTATGCATCCGCCGCACCCTGTTGATTTATCACAGGGGTGCCTGGCGTGCTAGATGATTTCGGTTTTGGTTTTGGTTCTTTTCGAAAAGAACTCCCCCTGGGGCTCCGTCGCGTCCCGCTGGGGTCCCGGGAAAATTGCCCAGGAGCTCATTCCCGGAAAAAATCCTCCAAGACGGCTCAAGATGGCCTCCAAGATGGCCACGTTGGCTCAAGATGGCCTCCAAGATGGTCCAAGATGGCCTCCAAGTCCGCCCAAAATGGTCCAAGACGGCCCCCAAGATGGCCCAAGAGAGTCCGAGATACCTCCACGTTCGCCAAACAGGCCTCCAAGACGGCCCAAGACGACCCAAGAGGCCTCCAAGGGGTCCTCAAGGAGGGCCCGAAGAGGCCCAAATCATTGATTCTCCCTCGGATTTTGAAGGATTTTGACATTTGCTTCTTTTCGGCCTTCCGACGGCCCCAAGAGGCCCCTAAGATCGCCCCAAGATCAACCACGAGGCCTCCGAGATGGCCCCATGACGGCCCGAGACAGCCCCCAAGACGGCCCCAGGAGGGGCCCAAGACGGGCCAAGAGGCCTCCAAGACGCCCATGATGGCCTCCAAAACGGCCCCGAAGCGCCCCAAGAGGGCCCCAAAGCCGGTTCAGAGAGGCCCCTCAGACAGCTCCCGACGGCGTCAGACGGGCCAGGAACCCACCAAGATGGCCGAAGTTGGCTCGCAGCTGGCCCAAGAAGGCCCAAGAGGCCTTCAAGAGGGCCTCCAGGAAGGCCAGAAAAAGACCCCAAAACACTGATTTTCCGATGGTTGTTGAAGGATTTGAAATGTGCTTCTTTTCGGCCTTCCGACGGCCCGAGACGGCACAAGAGCCCCCAAAGATCGCCCAAAGATCGCCCAAGAGGCCTCCAAGATGGCCCCAGAACGGCCCAAGAGGCCCAAGAGGCCCCCAAGACGGCCTAGGAGGCCTCAAAGACGCCCAAGATGGGTCCAAGATGGCCCCAGAACGGCCCCAGAGGCCCCCAAGACGGCCCCAAGAGGCCCCCAGGACGGCCTAGGAGGCCTTTAAGACGCCCAAGATGGCCTCGGCAGCCCTGGAGCATTCCAAGAAGGCCCCAAGTCGGCCCAGAGAGGCGCCCCAAACGGCTTCCGACGGCGTCAGACGCCAGGAGCCCACTAAGACGGCCGAAGATGGCCCTAAGATTGCCCAAGACGGCCCAAGAGGCCTCCAAGTGGGCCCGAAAAGGCCAAAATCATTGATTTCCCCTGAGGTTTTAAAGGATTGTGGCATTTGCTTGTTTGTCGGCCTTCCGACGGCCCGAGACGGCCCAAGTACCCCCAAAGATCGCCCAAGAGGCACAAGACGGCTCCAAGAGGCGCCCCAAACGGCCCAAGAGGCCTCCAAAACGCTCAAGATGGCCTCCAAGACGGCCCAGGAGCCCTCCAAGACGTCCTCCAAGACGGCCCGAAAGGGTCAAAATGGCCTCCAGACGGCAAAGATGACCTTCAAGATGCCCACGTGTTCCCCGAAGGCTTTCCAAACCGATTCGGGAAACACATAGTCCGATAGCTTGGCAGGTCTGGCCTCAACGTTCGGCCACATAGGCGCTTCCGAAAAAGGCAGGGGGCGGCAGTGATTCGCCGTAGGCGTCTTCGATCCGAAGGCCCCTGTTGGCTTGCCACAGGGGTGCCTGACGTGCAAGATTCCAGGACATGTTTGGTTCTTTGAGAACTCCTCCTGGGGCTTCCTGGAAGCTGGGCTAGAGGTGGTTGCGAACATGTTTCACGCTCCAAATTGCTCCAAGATGGCCTCCAAGACGGCCCAGATGGCCCTCAAGAGGGCCCCAAATCGGTCCAGAGAGACCCCCAAGACGGCCCCAGAGCGTCCAGGATGCGTCCAAGTTTGCCCAGGAAACCTCCAAGACGGCTCAAGCTGGCCCGCAAGGTCTCCGAGACTGCCCAAGAGGCCTCCAAGAGGGCCTACAGGAAGGGCCGGAGAGGCCAGAATCAGTGGCTTTCCCTATGTTGCTGCATGATTTGGAGATTACTTATATTATGCCTTCCGACGGCCCGAGACGGCCCACGAGCCCCCAAGGATCGCCCCAAGATCGCCCAAGAGGCCTCCAAGATGGCCCCAGAACGGCCCAAGAGGCCTCCCAGGCGGCCCCAAGAAGGCCTCAATACCGCCCAAGAGGCCTACAAGACGCCCAAGATGGCCTCCAAGACAGCCCTGGAGCACCTTAAGAAGGCCCCAAGTCGGCCCAGCGAGACCACCCAAGACAGCTTCCGACGGCGTCAGACGGGCCAGCAGGCCTTCAAAACGGCTCAAGTTCGCTCCAAGATAGCCCAAAACTGCCTAATGGGCCCTCGAGAGGTCTTCTAAGACGGCCCAAGAGGCCTCCAAGAGGGCCTCCAGGAAGGCCCGAAGAGGCCAGAATCACTGATGCTCCTTAGGTTCCTGAATGGTGTGGGCATTTACTTCTTTTCTGCCTTCCGACGGCCCGAGACGGCCCACGAGCCCCTAAAGATCGCCCCAGGATCGCCCAAGAGGCCTCCAAAATTGCCTCAGGACGGCCCGAGGGGCCCCCAAGGCGGCCCGAAGAGGGCCCCAGAACGGCGCAGGAGGCATCCAGGACGCCCAAGATGGCCTCCAAGACGGCCCTGGAGCACCCCAAGAGCGCCCTAAATCGGCCCAGGGGGGCTCCAAACGGCGTCAGACGGGCCAGGGGCCCACCAAGACGGCCCAAGATGGCTCCAAGATGGCCCAAAACGGCCCAAGAGGCCCCCAAGGTGTCTCCGAGACGCGCCAAGAGCCCCCCAAGATGGCCTCCAAGAAGGCCCGAAGGGGCCAGAATCAGCGATGTTCCTGAGATGCGTGACGGATGTGGGTATTTGCTTCTTATCTGCCTTCCGACGACCCGAGACGGCCCAAGAGCCCCCAACAGTCACTCCAAGATCGCCCAACAGGCTTCCAAGATGGCCCCAGAACGGCCCAAGAGGCCCCCCAGACGGCCCCAAGAAGGCCCCAATACCGCCCAAGAGGCCTACAAGACGCCCAAGATGGCCTCCAAGACGGCCCTGGAACACCCCAAGAGGGCCCCAAGTCGGCCCAGAGAGGCCCCCAAGACGGCTTCCGACGGCGTCAGACGGGCCAGGAGTGCCGAGAAGGTGGTCCCTTAAGAGGCCCAATGAGGCCCCCACAATGCCTCGAATAGGCTCCCAAGAAGCTCCCAGGAGGCCCCAAGACGGAGGCTCCTAATACTCCCCGTTCTCCTCCTCCTCCTCTTGATCTTCCCCGCCACCTCCTCGAAGGTTTTCCACAACAGCTGGGTGAACACATGGTCCCCGATAGCTTGGCAGAGCTCTTGCCACAACGCTCGGCCACATGTGCGATTCCAAAAGGCAGGGGGCGGCGGTGATTCGCCGCGGGCGTCTTCGATCATCTCCCTCCTGGGCGCGCGAGATGGCCTCACATGATGCTGCTCCTCCTTCGCCTCCTTCTCCGACTGCTACATGCGCTGCTGAAGCCCATCCTGCTCCTCTGGCTGCTGCTGGCAAATTTTCGTCGCAGGACAAAACAGTCTGCGGACATGAGGGCAGCTCTGAAACAGTGCTGCCAGCGTGCGAGGTGCTCGCATAAGTGAGAAGTGGGCACCATTCGGGAGGAAGGTCTGACAAAAGGAAGCGAAGACTCGCCGCCGAAACCTGCGCAGATAGCGTATATACATAGTGCTCGTGCCACAATATGCCGGAGCGGCACAACTTACACCTTAAATCGATAACGCACGCAGCGGCGCCAGACGCCAGGTCACTCAGGGTAAGCCTACTTTCGCTTCCCCTCTCACATCTCGAAGTCTTCCTCTCGGATGTTCGCCTGGGCCATCTGGCACTTTGATGCTATCTTACGCTCGGCGCGAAGCGTCTTCGTGGGCTCTGGAAAGGGCATGCGCACGCCGTCCTTTAGGAGAACTGGCTTGTAGGAGCTCGGGACCGAAGCACTCATGACGGGGCTGTTGCGGAAGCGCTGGATGTTCGTCTTGAGGCCCTGCACTTTGCTCCAGCGTACCATGCAGGCGCGCGATGCGATGGAGTCCCAACCGGTGAACCCATCGAAGACGCGCACGAAGTCTCTCGCCTGCTCGTGTGTGGTCAAATTAACAAACGCATAGCCAACACCTAACATTGTCGTGAAGTTTGTGGGAAGGTACACGAAATCGAACTTCTTCGCAAACCCGTGGGAGTCCATCAAATCGATCAGCCTATCTCGCGAGTAGGCGAGCGGTACCCTGCACATCATGACCGTGGTGCACTCCTCGCCCAACTCCTGCTTAGGGACTGTCTGGCTCTGTGGACAGCCCCGCCAGGGGGCTGCATTTATCATGGTGGCCGCGTCAGGGACCGTAGGGACAAACGCAGATGCCTGGCAGCGTAAAGGCGTGCGGACGGCTGCGGCTGGCGCCATCTTGGCGGCGGCGGTCGGCGCCTTGCTATTGGTCTCGGTGAGGCTCCACACGCGGCGCCGTGCAGCGGCACCGGTGAGCGACAGTGTAAGCTTGCAGGGGTAGGCGGCCTCGACGGCGGCAAAGTCGAGCGGCCAGCCTTGGAGGAAGGAGGCGGGGCCCCGACAAGAGTGGGTCCTCTGCAGACCCGGGGGCCCTCCCCCAGGACCAGCTGTTCCTCCCGAGCAGCTCTTCCTACCGCCCAGGGGGCCCGTGAAAGGGGGCCACCCGGAGCCCAAGAGCGGCGCGGGCCCTGCAGGACCCGCTTCCCCCAGGACCCCTGCCCTTCGTAGTGGGGAGAGGCAAGACTCGAATCTGGAGGACTCGAAATTTTGGACGCCCGGCATGTGTACGGAAAAGATGGGTACGCCTGGCATGTTGTCACAAACCAACAGCGGCCGCTGTTTGGCAGGCGACTTTCTGTCTCAGATGGGCACAGTCCGCGGCGAAGCCGACAGGAACTGCTGTCGGTTCTTCTGCCCATTCTTTCCGTACCCTTGTCGATCGTCCCGAGTCTCGGCCTGACGGGGCCGCCAGGACAACGACCAGACACGATCTGAGATCCGACGCGACCTCCCGAAGCGTCGGCAAGTCCGAGTCCCGGCGAACCCGAGTCTCACGTTTCCCCGATCATGGCGAGAGCCGGTCGGAGGGGCGACGCTCTCGTCGGTGTCGGAGCCGGCGTCTGCCTGCGGGGTGAGCGCGGTGATGCCGCCCAGCGTCACCTTCCGCGGCGCGCAGGCGTCGTGTGTCGCGTCGCCAGTGGGCGGCGGAGAGCGGCGCCCGAGCGGCACCTTGCACGGCTCGGCGTGGCCGAGGGCGTCGCTCGCAAGGAGAGTTGTCTGGAAGGCACGCATGGCCTGTAATGGAGGTGCTGTTGAGAATGTGTGTGTGTGTGTGTTATGTGCAACAAGTTGTGGACCTGCTGACGATCCGTGATGCTGTGATGCTGCTTGGGCCAAGCAGCTCTTGGAACCTTGGGCAGGGAGTGAGAGAAAGAGAGAGAGAGAGAGAGAAAAAAAACAAAACAAGAGAAGGAGATACATAGAATACAAACGAAGAGAGAGGGAGGAGCTACGGAGAAAGAGAGAGAGAGAGAAAGAAAGGGAGAGAAAGAGAAAGAGCGCAGAGAGAGCAGACGGAGCAGTGAGAGGGAGAGAGGAAAACCAATGAGTTCGCGGTCTTCCTCTTCTGTCCCTCCCTCAGTGCACTAGTGGGCCACGAAAATTCCTCGCTCGGCCCCAACCAAACTTGACATGTAGCTCGGCTTGTTTCAGCCCCGCTTGCTCCGCGCACGCTTGGCTGCAGACTCGGCCAACGCGCGGTCGGCGTGTCCCGCAACTGCGTGTCGTTGTCCTCGGTTGACCACCTCAAAGTGAATTACATGTTCAGATAACCGCGGTAAAGTCTAGAAGCTTCGCTTCTAAAACAAATAATAAAAACATATCCCCATAAGCCGGATCCTCAGCGTTCTCTTCGCCAGCTGAGTCGCAGCGTAGTTCGCTCCTCCGCGCTTGGTGCCTAATTTAGATCGTAGCGCTGTTGCTTCGCTCTTGACGGCGCGCGGTTGTGCCGTGTCGCTCGCGGATCAAAAAAGTACCCCCACCAGCCCATCCAGAAACCATGTGCAGGCGAATTGACGTGATCAGGAAAATGCGGGAACAAAGAGGGGGGCGGACGAACCGTGCGAAGAAGGGAGGAGGAGGAGGCTGGATGGATGGACGAGGGAGTGGGGAGAAAGAACATGAAATAGGATGATGATGAGGAGGAGGAGGAGGAACAGAAGGAGTATGAGGAGGGAAGGAGGGGCAGGAGGAGGAGGGTAAGCAAAGGTCCAGAGGTCTCTTGGATGCCTCTCGGAGCCTCTTGACATATCTCTTGGGCGCTTCTTGGTGGCCACTTGGGACGTCTTTGGGGTCTCTTGGCGGTCCTTGGGGACTCTTGGGCGTCTTGGGTGCCTCGGGGGGGCCTCTTGGGGCCGCTTGTCGTCCTTTTGGGGGCCTCCTGGGGGCCTATTGGGAGCCTCTTGGGGCCATCTTGGGGCCTCTTGGGGCCTCCTGGGCGCTTCTAGGGGCAATCTTGGAGGACATCGATCAAACAAGAGGGGAGCTTTAATAAGGGTTGCCCCCCCAAGAGGCCAAACTGGGGCCAAAACCCTGATCAAACCAATGATTTTGGCTTCCTCGCCGATGCCGTTTTGGACGCCCTGACCGCTCGCGACCGGCCCCGTCCAGGTTCAGGGGAGGGGGTAGGGGGAGAGGTAAATCTCTCCCCAAAGGGGAAGAAGGGGGTTGGAAGAGGAAACGGCCTGGACCCCCTTGCGCGAATCCTCTGCGCACCAAAATCATTTTCAGATTCGGACCAGAAGCCCCCTGACCCCATGCGGACGCCATCCTGACTGGCATCCGTCCTCTTTGGTCTTCTGTTTCCTCCCTTCCCCCTACCACCGACTTCAAACATTCTGGCGATGACCCGAAGCTTAGGAATGGCCTGTGTGGTGGATAGCAGCTAGCCTTCATGGACCTGTATCCAGCCCCAAGGACATTTCATAATATCCGACGGCGTCCTCCGAAATTCGGGATTGGATGCGCAACGAGGGCCGCGAAGGATCCGGGCAAAACGTGGGGATGAAAGGAAAGGCGAAGGACCTGCAAACATCACGGATCAATCTCTCACTCTGGAGACTTGGGGAACACCGAGGCGTTAGCCAGCACGGGCTGAGAACCATTGCTTCTCGCAGCCTGTGGGCCATCCTGCGTGGCCCATGCGGCGGCGACTGCGATGACTGCCTGGCGCTGGCTGGCGCGTCGCCACGGCCGCGCGAGCGCGTGCCGCCTCTGCAGAGCGACCCGCCAGACTGGCGAGACCGGAGGCGCGGCGCCGCGACGGCGCGGATCGCTGGGGACTCCAAGGGCGTCTCGCAGGCCGCGCGGACGTGCGGAGCACTTACTCCAAATCCCTTATGAATCGTCCCCCGGGCCCGGTTCTTTGAGGCGCCTTTCTGAAAACTGGGGGGGGGTCTGGTTTATTAGGGCGTTAGTTCGCATTTGGAGGGGGTCCGGTTTTTTAGGGGGGGTCGAGTAATAAGGGATTTGTAGCACTCCGCTGCGACTCGGCGACTCGGGCGGGGACGGACGGTGTCCCCTGCGACGCCGACGGCGGCCGACACGAGGATGCCAGCAGCGATGCTGGTGACAGCGGTGACACTGACGGCGGCACGGCCAGTGACGGCGCCGAGGCTGATCACGCGGACGACGATGACGGTGTCCACGTGTCGGCGGTGACGAAGATTTGAGACGGATTTCGACGTCCGCGCGCGGCCGACGGGCGCGGGTGGCCCGCATGGTATTATTTGAAACGGACCGTGCCCCCCCACAAAAAAAAACGCGCGCAAGATCACCTGATGATTTCGACGTGCACGCGCGAAGAAGCCGCTCGGTCGCAATGAATGAAAATGCTGAACACCGATGGCTGTCTGAAGAATTCGCAGTGTTCTCTTTGTTGAACAGCCTGGTTGCACATCCATTGGGCTCTATACGTTTCCGGGGCATGCGATTATGACCCTCCGGGAGCGCAAGGTTTTTGGAGGATTTGGAACTCGGCGCGCGACGACACGCGCGAGTGGGCGTTGCCGTTTTTTCCAACCATCCTGTGGTGTTGGGTCCTCGTTTTGAAGAGACAGCGCCCCGCGTCACTCCTCTCCTCCTCCTCCCCCTCCCCCTCCTCCTCCTCCCGTCATCAACAGTTTCAGCACACCCCTCACACGTTTCGTGGCCCCAAAGGGAGCTCCACCGAAGGCCCCAGTGCCACCGCCCGCATGCATCACGCTCACTCATTCCGGCACACCCCTCAAACCTTTCGTGGCCCCACAGGGATCTCCACCAAAGGCCCCAGTGCCACCGCCCGCATGCGTCACACACACACACACACACCAATTTCGGCACACCTCTCACGCGTTTCGTGGCCCCACAGGAAGCTCCACCGAAGGCCCCAGTGCCACCGCCCGCATGCGTCACGCACCAATTTCGGCACACCCCTCACACGTTTCTTGGCCCCACAGGGATCTCCACCGAAGGCCCCAGTGCCACCGCCCGCATGCGTCAAGCACACCAATTTCGGCACACCCCTCGCACGTTTCGTGGCCCCACAGGGAGCTTCACCGAAGGCCCAGTGCCCCCGCCCGCATGCGTCACGCACACCCATTTCGGCACACCCCTCGCACGATTCGTGGCCCAACAGGGAGCTCCACCGAAGGCCCCAGTGCCCCCGCCCGCATGCGTCACGCACACCGACGCACACCCATTTTAGCACACCCCTCACACGTTTCGTGGCCCCACAGGGAGCTCCACCGAAGGCGCCACTGGCTGCGTTTGCAAGCGCCCACCTCACCAATTTCAGCACACCCATCACACGTTTCGCGGCACCATAGGGAACTCCACCGACGGCCCCACTGGATGCGTTCGCGTGCGCTATTTCGGCACACCTCTCACGCGCTTCGTGGCTCCATAGGGACTTCCACTGGCGGCCCCAGTGGCTGCTTTCGCATGCGCCCACCAAGCAATTTGTGACACACCTCTCACACGTCTCGTGGCCCTATAGGGAGCTCCTCCGAATGCGGTGCATACAACGACGGTGCTCACAACTACATATTGTCGCCAGGTTAACTTTTGGATCGGGACTCTTGCAATGCATACTTTGTGATAAAAATGCGCGTGCCCAGCACAACTTGACGATTTATATTTCAAATGAGCGACAGAGCAGGATCACATGTAAACTGCACACCCGTAGGGTGGCGATAAGTCTGGGGTGGGTGGGTGGTAAGATATGCAATCTGTGTTCGCACTTGAAAATGTAAACTCCACTGCTCGCGCGCATATCCACCCACCTACCCATCCCACCCTCCCCCACTGCTCGCGCTGGCTGGCGCATCGCTGCAGCCGCGCGAGCGCGCGCAGGCTCGCGCTCAGAACGGCCAGCTGGTCTGGCGCAACCAATGCGGCCGCGGTGGCGCTGACCGCTGAGGACTTCCCAGCGCGTTTCGCACCCCGCGCTGACGCGTGGGCACTTCACTGCTTGGTGACTCGGGCGAGCGCAGTATCATGGCGATGTCAACAACGACCAACGACAGACGCGATGACGATAGTAGCGATGTTGGCGACGACGGCGAGGATGACGACGGCAAGGCCAATTACGGCGCCGATATTGATCACGCAGACGACGATGATGGTTTCCACGCGTCGGTGATGAAAATTTCGGAAGGATTCCGGGATGAGGGGCAGGGGCGATACCGGTTCGGCTGGGATGGTTGAACGATGGGGCAGAGTTTCATGCACATTGTGCGTACTCTCTCAAGGGGAACCGCGAACTCTGGGGGGGGGGTCAGATCCGAATTCCTTGTTTTGGGCGAAGACTGGGCGTGATGCGATGCGCGGAGCAGTTTCATCGGGCCCAGGAACCCAGACCCCCGACGTAATGATTTTTTCATTACGTCGACCCCCAGAGGTCCCGACCCTTTCCCCATGACGGGCTTTGCATCCTGAGTCGTTTTTTTACGCTCCCGAGGCCCGGTGAGGGCCCCAGGAGGCCGAAAATTAGGAAAAACCTCCCGTCATGATTTTTTCATTACTCGAGGGGGTCTGGGAGGACGGGCGGCGACGAGCGACGAGGTGGCGATTGGGCGGCGACGGCGGCGACATAGCCGCCAGACCGCCACATCAGCCCCGACGACGGCGCGGCGGCGGCGGCGGCGACGGCGGCAGCACGGCGGCCGGACCGCCACCACCAGCCCAGCTCCTTAGAAAAAAAATGCGCAAAGACCCCCTCCTCCTCCTCCTCCTCCTCCTCCTCCTCCTCTCCTCCTCCCCGCTCCTCCCCCTCCTCCTCCCCCTCCCCTCCCCCTCCCCCTCCCCCTCCCCCTCCTCTCCTCCTCCTCCTCCTCCTCAGCCCAGCTCCTTAGAAAAAAAGCGTAAAGACCCCTGAATGCAGGCACCGTTTTGGGGGATTTGAAGTCAACCGTTTAGGAGGATGGCCAGTCCAGACACCGGCCGCCTCCCCGGAAGAGAAGCAGGAGGAAGGAGGTGCGGGAGGACTGGCACGCCCGAGCGGGTGCGAACAAACACGTGCACAATGGCCAGCAGCAGATCTCGTCAATATCCCACCGTCGTCCGGATCCAGCAGCGGCCGCTGCGGGGCAGGCGACGCTAGTCTCAGCTGGACAGCGGCATCGGCGACGCCGACACCGATTCCTGTCCCAAACGGACCAGACCTGCGGTCGATAGTAGTCCCCATTGTTTCTGTGACCCCTCTTCGATCGCACCGAGAAACGGAAAGGAGAAGGGCCACCGATGTCTCTCTCGGCCGTCCTCTGATCACCGAAGCCGCCCCCTGATGCCAAAACCGCCCACCTCCCTACCAAGGCCGAGAGGCAACCCCGCCCATCTTCCGGCACACGCCAACATGGATTGCGAGGCGCGTGGGCGCCAGATCCGCGCATCGAGGAAAGCAACTCCCGAAACATCAGGCCAGTGCCGCCTGATCAGGCGACGGGACGCGTCGAAGGGCCAGGTGCCGCCCGATCTGGCGACGGATTCGCACGGAACCGAGGGAGGTCACAGGTCCGCGCGCCTCAATTCACGCTTTGAGGGGCAACGAAAAGGGGGGGGGGGATAGGCTCAGGGGGCGACGCATCGACTCGCAATCGCCCATTCATCGCCGACAGAAGCCCGATAAGCTACCCCGCCCAGGGCCGTGGGGATTCGCTATCGGGCGCCTATCGCCGAGCCATCGGCGATGTCTCGCGTCTCGCCCTGAACTTGTCCCCCCCTATGGTCGCCCCTCGTGTTTACGTTTCTCGGAATAAGGTGGTTTGAGACATCTGGAATTCGAAACCGGTCCCCGGAGCTCTCCCTGGGTCCAAACGGACCGATTTTCCGCGCTGTGTCCAGCCGTGGCGAAGAGGGGCTCCAGGAAGGCCAACTACTACCAGTGTCTCAAACGGCCCTCCTCTGATATGAGTTTCACCGGCATGTGACTGTCTGGCAGGTTGCCGACGACAACGCGAGGAAGCGGTGAGTTGCGCGGGAGCGGCGACGGCGACGGTCGGTTTCCCAGGCCACCTGTCCTCGCGCCTCGCGACTCGCGCGGAGCGCGGATGCAACCGCGCCCTCACTAGGGTCTGGGTAGATGGAGCCAGAGGACCGCACCCGATCGCCGACGCGTCGGCGACGTCGTCGTGTCGAACATCGGGCTCCACATCGCGCCGCATCGCCGGTGCATCGACGATAGAGCACGATCCTCCGACCCCATCCGCTCGGACTCTCTTTGGGAGACCTCGACTCGCGCCCCTGGGGAAGGGTGATCCCGCTGTAAAACAGGGCTCGGATCGGGATAAATCGCTCCAAAGCGTTCCGGAGCGCTCTCAGAGCGTTCCGGAACGCTCTGGAGCGGCCGCGGCGCCCAATACATCCTCCAAACCCGCCGATTCTCAGAGATTTCGAGTTATCCCGATCCGATTTTGTCCCGATCTTCGCGTCGTTTTACGCTGCCCAGACCGCTCACCTCTTCGCGCCCCCTGCGGGCACCTCTGCCGCAAGGGGACCGGGTCCCGAGGGGCACGGGCCCCTCACCAAGTACCAGCTTCCGATCCTGAGCACGGGGAGGGCACTGGATACATTGGACCAGGAGCTATTGGGTAAGGATTGGGCGCGAAGTAATAGGAAGGCGATGATTAAATGAGGGGGGAGAGCGGTGCCCTTTTGGGGCCCTCAAGGGCCCCTTCGAGTGCCCTGCAAGGCCCCTTTTCTGCAGCCCTGTCACCGCCCCCCCATTCATCGCCCCCCCCCATGACGCGCCTCCCGAAGGGAACCCCGGATCTGGAAGCTGGTGGAACTCCAGTCGTATAGATTGGCCATGGACCACGGATATCACTGCCGCCCTCATGAGACCCCCCAGGGTCTGAAGGTTCCTGTGCACACTCCTCAACCAACGCCCCCGCCGTGGTCTGTTGATGGTTCCCGGGCACGGGGAGAGCCTCAGGCCCCAGGAGCCCCGCAACGGCGGAGAGCCTGCAGGACCCGCCTCCCTCAGAGCACCTTTCTTTCACGGCGCTTCCTTTGCGACCCCCACGGGCGACCCACGACTCCCAAGAGCTCGTCAGGCCGCGCCTTCTGCTGCAGGTAAGCGGCGGCCCGCTTGCGGTTGTCGGCATCCTCGCCGGCTCGCGCGCGCGCGCGCGCGGGCGCTGCCGCGACGACCCTGAAGCGGAGGTACTGCTGCCTGCGCGGGGATTTCAGGCGCTACTAGAAGAGATCCGCCGGCCACCTCGGGGGGGCATCAGGCCGAAATATGATGCGTGCGTTCCTCTTGCCACGGGGCGCCACGATTCGGCAGCGGGGCGGCAGGCACCATAACTGCGAAAGCTCCGCAGGGCAACCTGCACCTGTGCGACAAATCCCACCAGCCCTTTAGGGCGTGAGTTGTTTGGAGCGTTTCCTCTTCCATCTTTCCTTTCCCCCTTCGGGGAGGGGTGTACCCTGCTCCCCTCCCCATCCCCCTGGGTCCGGAGGGGGTGGGGGGTCGCGAGCAGTTAGAGCGTTCAAACTTGCATCGGCGAGAAAGCCAAAATCATTGGTTTCAGCCCGTTTTTGGCTACATTTTGGCCTCCTGGGGGGCAACGCTAATTTACTACGCACGGCCCGTCCATTGACCAATCTCCTCCAAAATGGCTCCAAGATGGCCCCCGAGGCTCCGCGCGCGAAGGACGCACAGCAGCAAGATGCCGAAATCTTGGCTGATAAAGAAAACAAGTAAACAACAAAGCGCGCCGCCGAAAGGCCGATGACGCTGGCACAAGTGGAAAAGCGTCAGCCAGTCGTGGCCGACGCCCAGACGAATTCAAGTACAAATTCAGCCGGAGGCGCTGGCAGAGGGACGCCCGGCGCAGACGGGCCCGGACCACCACCGCCACCAAGGGACCCGGGGCTCGGATGGACGAGGGGGTCGTCGTCGACGCCGTCGTCCCGCCGAAAACGGGCCCGCCGCTCCCAGGCCGCCGCCGCCGCGTCGTCGTGGGAGCGCCGCCTCACCGCTGGGGCAGGGCCGCCGTCGACCTGGGTCCCTCCCGAGCCGCCACTGGGGTCCGTTGGGGTCGTCGCCGCCGGGGTCGCCACCAGAGCCGCCGCGCGGCGAGCCGCGGCCGGGGCCGCCAAGTCAGCCCCACGCCGCCGCCACCGCCGCCACGTCGGCGGTCGCCTGCACCCCTGCGGAGCCAGCGCCAGACGCCGCGGTCGGAGCCTCGAGGGACAGCTCGAAGGATCTCTGGGCCGAGGCGGCAAGCGGCGATCTGTAATCGCGCCCGACGCTCGACCGAGGGCCCAGCCGTGATCGTAATCCAGAGCACCCCAAACGGCCCCCAGAGGTGCCCAGGAGGCCCCGACCGAAGGGGGCCCCGAAGAGGCTCTCACGATGCCCCCAAGAGACCCCCACGAGACCCCCTGAGAGGCCCCAAGAGGACCCCATAAGCACCCAAGACGCCCGAAGGGGCCCCCGAGACTGCAAAGAGACCCACAAGACGCCCCAAGAGGACTCCAAGAAGCTCTCGAACGACATCCGAAGAGACTCTTCGAGGCATTCAAAATGCCTCTGGCCTTTCTGCTCGCCCTCCTCCTCCTCCTCCTCCTCCTCCTCCTTCTCCTGATCATCATCATCATCATCATCATCATCATCATCATCATCATCATCATCAGCATCATCATCATCATCATCATCATCATCATCATCATCATCATCATCAGCATCATCATCATCATCATCATAATCATCATAATCATCATAATCATCATAATCATCATCATCATCATCATCATCATCCTCATCCTCATCCTCATCCTCATCTTCATTCTCATCCTCATCCTCATCCTCATCCTCATCTTCCTCTTCCTCCTCCTCCTCTTCCTCGTCCACCTATTTATCCGCATTCCTCCTCCCGCCTCCTCCTTCCTATCTCCCTCCTCCTCCTCCTCCTCCTCCTCTGATTCCCGCCTCCATCCCCTCCCTCATGGGGCATGACTTCTTCCAACCTTCTAGTCCACTGCATGCTCATCCACATCCCTGATCAATGCAACTCGTCTGGATATCGTTCCTTGATTGGCTGATAGGGTTACGCAAACCGTCTAGAATTGACTTGAGGACTTCGAAGGATAATCTGCTGGCCCCCATTGACTGGCCCATTGGGGACGTCGGGCTGTGAGGTGTTCTGCAAGATTGCTGTCTACTGTTCAATGTTTTGTCTTTTGATGTTCGACTCGTCTCTCCAATTACGTCCCCATTGTTGTCTACTAAATCGCCCCCCCTACCCAATAAAAACCGTGGGGGGTCCTTCAAATTCCTGGCCGAACCAAGTCGCCTCATGATTCCGATTGGACGCCCCGTATGACCAGGATGGCCCTAGAGGCCTCGAATGTCCCGAAAGGCTCCGAAGAGGTCTTCAAGAGCCCAAGGCGGCCGAGTATGCCTCCAATGTGCCAGCATGACTGTCCAGGAGGTCCCCAAGACGCCTCCGAGAAGACGGCACAAGCACGAAACAACCATACTGCGCTCGATGTTTCTTGACAGCCCAACGTCTTGCTCCCAAGACCTCCGGAAAAAAAACGATCCGGCACGCGGGTGCGGGACTCGCCCCAAGGCGCTGGCGGTGCGACTGTGGCAAGCAGTGGCTGGACGTCTCCCCCGTTGCAAAGGGGCCGCTCGGTCCACCGGGTGCGACTGGCGGGGGCTCGCGGACCCAGGAGCCGTCGCCAGCGCGGGCCACGTGGACAACAACCTGCATAGACTCGGGGAGACGTAAGACCCGGGTACGGGGGACTCGGAAATCCCCGACGAGGTCGTCAAAAAAATGACGAGGCCGAGCCTGCATTTTGACGAGGCCTCCCGCTGCAGACATCCCACGAAACTCCTCCTCGTCAAAATCCGAGTCGCGGTCGTCAAAAAACGATGGCGAACCCGAGTCCCGGCAAACCCGGGTCTTACGCTCCCCCGATAGACATGTGATACGTTTTCGGAGGTCCGCGCGACTACGGAAGGGCCCTGGGACACACAAATACATACACACAAATACTTAACAGGATTCCCCATGTTTTCGCACATGTCCTGGAATTTTGTCTTCCCCCCACTTCCCATATTTTCGCATATTTCCTAGGGATCGACGATTCATTGTGTCTGTGGTTTTGTTCTCCTCCTGGGAATATCTTGGATAGGCGCTGGCCCGCCCCTCCTCTCTGGCATGCGGAGCGCGCCAGAGGGCGGGGCCGCAGGCGCCGCCAAGGGGGCCCGACGCAGATCCTCCGACATCTCCTGGCCAGGGCATGCGCGATGGCAAATATTCAAAGAACCGGGCGTGATGACGAGGGTCCTCCAGGAAGCAAGAACATTACGTCGGGCCTGCCCCCCTACAGGGGGATCTTGGGCGACAAAGAAAACATACTCGAAAGATGCCCCAGGATATCAAAGAAAAGAGTCCCCTGACTATAGTTTGACTAGTTTGGGATATTCCCCCTGTAGAGGGATCGGCCCGACATAACTCGAACACCGAAAGAAGGGCAACGGTAACCACGTGTCTTCCTGCTCCGGCTTGCCCACCTTTCAGCCAGCCAGCCATCCGCCGGGGTGCTGTTCTGGCCAGGCTTCCGCGGCAAATCCAGCCGTGGCGACAACGGCCTTCCAGAAAGCTCAGGAAAGCGGAAACGAGGAAGGGCAGCAGTACCGGGCGCCTCGTCATGCTCTGATCGTTCCCCTTCCCTCGCCGCGTCCCTCTCTTCCTATACCTCATACGTCGTAACTTCGTCACAGCGTGGACTCTGTAGACCACTTCCCCTGGGACAGGCTCTCCATCCCCAGCCAGTTGCTGACTTTTCTGGGGGCCTGCGGCCCAGCGAGGACCCCCAGATGCCGAAAATGGCGAAACACCGTCCGCCGTGATTTTTCACGGAGCCTCGTCTCTATCAGGGTGGTGTAGTGGCCGAAACTGTCCCCGAAGATCGGCCCGAGCGTGACCGAACCTGGCGCCGGAAATCCCAACACCCTGTCAGCGTGTGTGAGATGTTTGTTCATTTGAGTCGTCGTCGTAGCCGTCGCCGCTCCCCCCCTTTCCCTAGACCCTCCTCCTCAAGCGACTCAGTGAGACGGAAATCAAACAACGTCGCAAGTGACTCGAAGGGAAGTCTCTGCCCTTTGATCCCTTCCCCGGACCGGGGGGAAGGGGTCCCCGGGGGTCGTGTCGTGACAGCCCCCACCTCCGACCAAGACGACCCAATAGAGAGCCCCGCGGAGACGCAGGAGGGAGAACACCCACCGGGTCGAACGGCAGGCGGCGGGGAAGGGGGGAGGGCGGTCTCGGGAAGGGATCGCTGGGGCGGTCCCGGGGAGGGCCCCGGGGGGGGGTCCCGAGGCCAACAAGGCCCGCAAGGGCCCCAGCGAGGGCTCGCGAGCGTCGTCGTTGCCGTCGTCGTCTGCGTCGTCCCCCATCGCGTGTCGGCGGCGCCGGCCGTGAGGCCTTCGTAGCATTCGAAACGCGCCCGAGCGCGGTACAGTCGTTTGGTTCGGAGTACATACGGCGATCAATCTAGATCACACTTTCGGTTACTTTACGCCTGCGGTCAAGATCTGCGGGCACGCCTTCGGCCATGTTTGGGGGGCGGAAAGATACGGATACGTGTTGTCCCAGGACCTCTCTTGGGGTGCGTTCTGACCAGAATTTCGAGGCGAATCCAGCGGTGACAACGAGGATCCCCCAGGAGGACCAGGAAAGGCCGAAAACGAAGGGGGACAACACGTATACGTATCTTTTCTCCCCCTACATGTATTTGTTCGCCGGCCACGGGCCTTTCTGGCTGGCTGGGAGCTGGGCGCTCCAGGGTGCTTGCTGCGCTTCTCGGCTCGAAGGAGAGGCCTGCGCTCTCCCGCCGCATCCTCCTCTGCCTGGGCACGGGCTGGAGCGAAGCGCTGGCATTAGGTCGGGCCTGTCCCCCTACAGGGGGATTTTCCAAGAAAAAATGCCAATAGCCAAACCATAGATTGCGAAAATGCTAGAAAATAATACCAAAAGCGTTCTCAGACTAATCTTTTACTGTTTTTGAATGCTCCTCCTGTAGAGGGGCAGGCCCTTTGTGGGCCACGGAAACGGCAGGGCCGTTTACTCACCGTTTCCGAAAAAATGTCCCTTGAAAGTGGAAACGGCAAGAAAACGGCGACCGGAAACGGCAACAAAAACGGCGACGGAAAAAACGGCGTCGGAACCGGCAACAAAAACGGCAAAACGGAACCGGTTAAAAAACGGCCCTGCCGTTTCCAGGGCCCACTAAGGACAGGCCCGACGTGTCGCTCCAGCACCCTGGCGCTGCCGTCGCAGGAGCGCGGGCCGAAGGCGGGGGGGGGACCGAGCGAGGGCCCCACGAGAGCGAACGCCGCGGGGGCCACGAGAAGACACCACGAGCGGAGGGGCCGCCCGAGAAGGAGCCGAGGCCCGAGGCGTCGGCCGCCGACTACCTACCAGGCCACCCCAACCCAACCCGAAGACCCGCATTTCGGGCTGGGGAGGGGTACGGGTTCCAGATGTGTGTTTCTCAGTGTTCCCCGACCCCCCCCCCTCCACTGGAAATGGAGGGCAACTTGCGGCCTTCGGGTTGGCTTGGGGTGGTCTGGTGGGTGGTGAGCCGCATCCTCCGCTTGGCGGTGCGCAGAGGGGGGTGGGGCGAGGGGGGGGGGGCTTCTCAGAAGGAGGCGGCTTCTTCAGAAGCGGCTGGCCTCACCTCTACAGATCAGGCCCGCGCCTCCTGAGAAGCAGGGGGTGCTTCTGAGACGCCCTCCCCCCTCCCCCCACCCTCTTCTGCGCGTGGCCGATCCACCCTCCGACGGCTCATGGAGAGCCCGCGCCGGTTCCTTGCTGGCCTTGCTGCCCAGCTGCGCCAGCGCGACCGCCTCCCTCCCGGGAGGCAGGGGAGAACGAGGACGAGCAGGAGGAGGTGGAGGAGTACCAAGCGAGGGGAGGACGGGCACGGGGACGAGGGGGGGGACTACGAAGGACAGGGGAGGAGGAGGATTAGGAGGGTGCGGAGGATGAGGGGGGCGAAGAAGGAGGGGAGGAGGAGGATGAGAGGAGGAGGAGGAGGAGGAGGAGGAAGAGGAGGAGGAGGAGGAGGAGGAGAGGCCAAAAGATTGTGCAGGACCTCACTGATTTGACTTTTTCATTTGTTCAACCGTGTTTTCGTGATTGTGTCGTCTTCATCGTGATATGATGTTTCTTCTTCTCCATCTCTCTCTCTCTCTCTTTGTTTCTCTCTTTCTCTCTCCCTTACTCTTCGCCAGCCTATTCAAACAACAACAAACGACCTCCCGAACATGGCCCTAAGAACTCCAGCCCTGTGCCAAACGGCATGGGGCTGGAATTTCACCAGAGGAGTTGTTATTAGCTTTCAGCCTTGTCTTCGCTATTATCATTATACTTCCTCTCTCGCTCTCTCCCGTGGCCTCTCTCTCGCCCCTACACACTATACGCATCTCCTTCCTTACGCATCCCACACAAATCTCTCTGGAAAGCGAAGCACACATATATTCGATGTCCTCGCAAGAGGAATCCGCTGGGAAGCATCACCAATAGATTCTGTGTGAAGGCCTCATAATCGGAGCCGCTTGGAAGGCACTGCTGAAGGCTTCTAGTGGAAAGCCACCAGAGGAATCCTGTGAGAAGCGACACAAAGAGATTCAATTGAGAGCTTCACATCAGGAACCCATTGGAAAGCGCAACAAAGGGATTCGATGGGAACACCTCGCACTCGGAATTCTGTGCAAAGTGCTACACAGGGACTCCAAGTGGATAGCCTCACAACAGGGATCCATGACAAAACGCTACAATCACATTCTGTTAGACACAATCATACATGGAATAGGTTGTATTGCGCTTCAGAGGGGCTCTGAAGGCACACTGTAAACTTGGAATCCTGTGGAAAGGAATCGAACAGAGTGTACCGGAAGGCTTCACAACTGAGATCCTTTGAACACCTTTGGACAACACAAAGTATTCGATTGGACGGCCTCGGGCTTGGAACACTAAGCGACATGCTACACCGAAGTGCCATTGTATGGCTGCAAAACAGGGATCATTTGGAAAGCGCTGACTAGCAACACGCAAATAGTTAGAAACAACATTAGTGGGAATCCTTTGGAAAGCGCCCCAGAAGGATTATGAGGGAACCAATAACAGGAACCCTTTTGCCAGGAATCCAGGAGGTTTTACCTGGACGGCCTCGCAATATATAGAGATCCTTTGAACAGCGCAACAACATGGATTTTATCGGAGCGCCTGGCAACAGGAATCCTTTGCAAAACACCACACAGGGATTGTGTTGGAAAACCTCACGAGACAAATCCTCTAGAAAACAACACGAGGGGCTCTTGCTGGAACGCATCACAAGAGGAATCCTCTGGAAAACGCTACGACGGGCTCCTCTTGGAAACTACCACGAAGGGCACCCTTCGGAAAGCACCACACAGGGATGCGATTGAATTGGAAAGCGCCACCAAGGGGCTCCTATTGGGAAACCGCGCAACAAGGACCCCGCCAGAAAGCACCACAGAGGGACTCCATGGGAAAATTTCACACGAGAGAACCTTCTAGAAAACACAACTGAAAACTCCGATTGGGAAGCAGCACGGAAAAAATGAACCCGTCGGAAAGTACCACACCGGGATTTAATAAAGAAGCCTAACAACATAAATCATTTGGATCGCACCGCAGAGGGATTCTATAGGAAAGCCTTGCGACAGGGTTTGTGGAAAGCACCACACAGAAATTCGGCTGAAAAGCCTCGCAGCGAGGTTTTTCTGGAAAACGCAACAACGGGATTACACAGGAAATCCTCATAATGCAAACCCCTTGGAACGCGCCGCAAAAGGTTTCGATGGGAAAACATAACAACGGGAATCAGTTGGTAAGTACTAGAGGGAGAGTATATTCGGAAGCAACACAAAGGGAACCCTGTGGAAAACAAATCAAACATATTCCACTGAACAGCCTCACAATCGAAATCCATTAGAAAGCACAGCGCAGAAATTATGCTGGAAAGCCTCACAACAATAATCCTTTGGAAAGCACCCCAACCGCATTCCATTGGAAACCGTCACTGTAGGAATCCTTTGGAACGCACCACAGAGGGATTCCATGGGAAAGCCTCACATCAGAGAATCTTATTGGAAACACCACTGAGGGCTCCGATTTGAAAGCCGCACACAAGAGAATCCATCGGAAAGCACCACGAACAATTCTTTTGGAAGCATCACTTGAGAAGCCTCACGACAAGATCCTTTTGGAAGCATCCACCGGAAAGCACCACAACATCAATTGGGAAGCCCCACGACAGGACTCTTCTGGATAGCGCCTCGATTGGAAAGCCTCGCGAAAGGATCTTTTGGAAAACGCCAGAACGGGATTCCATTGGAAATCCACAGTGGGAACACTTTGAAACGCGCCGCAAAGGGGTTCTATTGTAAAGCATCACAACAGGAATCCTTTGGAAAACACCACAAGGAGATCCCACAGGGAAGAACCACAAAAAGAATCCGTTGAAAAGCACCACAAAGAGATTCTATGGGAAAACCTCGCAACATGTATCAGTTGGAAAGCACCACAACGGTATGTTATGGGAAACTGTCACAGTGGGAACCCGTTGGAAACACCACGAGTGGATTCTATGGGAAATCCTCACAACGGGAACCCTTCGGGAAGCACCACACATGGAACTCGATTGGCCCGCCTCTTAACAGGAACCCACTGGAAAATACCCCAAAGGAATTCGATAGGAAATCCGTACAATGGAACTTCTTTGGGACACACCACAAAGGATGTGTCTCCTCCCCAGCAAAAAGAACAGTATGTGTTTGTTTGTATTGTTTTGGATTGGGGGCAGAGAAATGAAGTAGCAGGAGGAGGAAGGACGGAAGAGGAGGAGGAGGACGAAGAGGAGGGAGGGTAGGACGAGGGGTTGGAGGAGAAGGAAAAAGAGGGGGCGATCCCCCTCCCCCAAAAAGAAGGGGGGTACCAGTTTTTTTCCTGGGGGCAGCACAACAACAAAAAGAAGCTCCTTCTGAGAGGGGGAGGAGGACGACGAGGAGTTGTGCGAGGATGAGGAGGAGGAAGAGGAGGAGAGAGGAGGAGAAACAGGAGGAAGAGGAGAAGGAGGAGGAAGAGGAGGAAGGATGCGACAACCTTAGGAACACCATACGAAAAACACCATCCGAATAGCGAGGTCCGCCACAATCCCCCGTTCTCTCTCTCTCTCGAGGAGGAGGAGGAGGAGGAGGAGGAGGAGGAGGAGGAGGAGGGGTAAAAAGGGAAAGGAGGAGGAGGAGGAGGAGGGAGGAGGAGGAGGAAAGGAGGAGGAGAGGAGGAGGAGGAGGGAGTAGGAGTAGGAGGAGGAGGAGGAGGAGGAGGAGGAGGAGGAGGAGGAGGAGGAGGAGGAGGAGGAGGAGGGGAGGAGAGGAGAGGAGGAGGAGGAGGAGGAGGAGGAGGAGGAGGAGGAGGACGAGGAGAGAGGAGGAGGAGGAGGAGGAGGAGGAGGAGGAGGAGGAGGGGGAGGAGAGAGGTTGAGAGATGGGGAGAGGCTAGAAAACCAAGGATAAGGGAAGGGGATGAGGAAGGAGAGGGAGAAAGGGAAGGAGGAGGAGGGTGGTGAGGTGAAGAAGCTACCACCGGATCCGCCGCAGCCTCACTGTAGCTGCACTGGGAGCCGAGCTCGCCTCCGCAGCAGCACGCATCCTGCTCCTGTTCCAGCCCGCTCTGGTTTCTCGTGGCCTCCTCCTTCTAAAACGAACCCATATGAGTACTTCTCTCCCTCCACCGCTGACGCTGTCCAGCGGATCTCCAGCCCCCTCTGCGTGCTGACTTTTACATACAGGACTTCACAACGTTCATGTGCCTCGTTGGTGTTTACAGTCCGATTGTTTCCGGTGTTTCAAGACGGTGCTCCCGCTGTAGCATGGATCTCAATTTCGGAGCGGTGCTTTGCTCCCGTCGTTCAGAATGGAGCTCTCGCCACAGCGCGGGCCACTTTTCTGGATCCGAGTGTTGATTCGTTGTGGTCCCCCCCCCCTCATTCCCCTCCTCCTCACTCGCCTGGTCCTCCTGTTCCTCCCGCTCCTTCCACTCCAGTTCCTGCTGCTGCTCTTCGTCTCGCCCCAGCGCGGGCCACTTTTCTGAATCCGAGTCTTTCTTCATCGTTGTCGTCCCCGTCATTTCCCCTCCTCCGCCTTCCCCTGGTCTTCCTTTTTCTCCCTATCCTTGCGCTTTAATTCCTGCTGCGGCTGTTCGTCCTTATCCGGTTCCTCCCGCTCATCCTCCTGCTCACCCGCCACCTCCTCCTCCTCCTCCCCCTCCTCCTCCGCCTCCTCCTCCTCCTCCTCTTCCTCCTCCTGTGCTCGCAGCTCCTCTTTTTCCGATTGCGCATAAAACGAAGTGGTCTTTCCGTGGGAGTCGCATGCCGGCTAGGACACGCGTCCGCGGATCACGAAAAACCAGCGCCATGTGAGGGCATGGAAGGGAGGGGTAGGATGTCAGCTGAGGCGCGGGCGCACCCAGCTTGTCCTTCCCCGCTCTCCTGCTCCTCCGGTGCCCCTCCTTCTCCTGCCGCTCCTGCTTCCCGTCCCCCCTCGCCTCTCTCTCTCTCTCTCCTCTGTTCTTAGAGTTTAGCTGCATCGCTGGAGCGCTGCTGTGGGAAAATAAAAAAAACAGTGCGAAACCGACTTGGGCAAAGTGCGCAGCGAATCAGGCGGGGCGAGCGTGGTGGGACGGCGTCGGGCGCGGCCTAACCGACCCCCAGCAAACCATCCCCGTCCGTGACGTCCCCCTCGCCTCGCCCCAAGCCGTGTGTATGCGGCTGGAGGAAAGCTTGGAAGGCGAGGGTGACCCCCGCCTCCCATTTCAATCC